ACTGATTTTATTATTAAAGCCGCGTGAAACTTGTTGGTTTCTTGTTTTTGTGGCGATGTCATTGCTCTGCCTGGAATGTTCCACAGTGTGACATTAAACAGCTGCACCTACATTTAGTGGTTGTATAACTCAAAATAACCTAGAAAAACAGACATTCTGGCTGTTAGCAGGGTCACCATAACCCGGTCTGGTTTGTTCTCCATGAATAAGCAAAGCTCTGACACCGCACTATGAAACATTCCAAACAAAACAGTAACATCTCCATGAAGACAAACATTTTGGCAGACCTTTCACCAGAAAAGTTACACAATGCACCTTTAACTAGTAAATATATTTTGTTAATAATTTCTGGAATTAAATTTGATCCCAGTCCAAAGTGGTGCAGAGGCTACGCAGAGTTTATCATTGACAATGTTCCACTTTAACTGTTCAGATTTCAGGGTCCATAAGTAATCCATTTAGGAGAGTTTCACGCTTGAGTAAAAGTTTGTGTGTGAACGGAGGAGGCATGATGCAACCCCAATGAAACTTCTTCAATATTAGTTTACAAATATGAGAGATGAGGATGACACTGGGTGAATCAGACCAGACAGAGACACATGAGCTTGTGCTGAAAAGTTCGAAGTGACAAATATTGACAGACTTGACTTTTAAAGGTCCTTTATTACACAAAACGGGTTCTTGTGAGCTTTAAGTCATGTTAAAATGTTATGTCATCAAAACCAGTCCTGGAGTTGTGTTTCATTCACATGTTTTGAGTAATCCTTTATTAAAAGCCTGTCTACATCTCCAAAGCTCAAAATGCTCTGTTTCACCTTGTAATGTCATGAAGCGGTAGTTTTAAAGTTAACAGCTACTTTTATCGTTTCTACAGTGACCGCATACTTAAACAAAGGGAAACATTTTGGATTCACAGTCTCCAAACTTTAGCTCCAAAAGGACTCAATGATGATCTGTTTGTAGGCATTAGTTATATCATTAGGTCTGTCGCTTCTTTGGCTTTATATGGGCTACATTGTAAGATCCATTGTATGTGTATATATATATATATATATATATATATATATATATATATATATATATATATATATATATATATAATGTGTTTCTCACCTTCCACGGTGGTTGGTCTCTCACCCTCATTCAGCTCGGGTCCTCTACCAGAGGCCTGGGAGCTTGAGAGTTCTGCGCAGTATCTTTGCTGTTCCCAGTACTGCACTTTTCTGGACTGAGATGTCCGTTGTTTTTCCCGGTATCTGTTGTAGCCACTCTTCCAGTTTGGGGGTTACAGCCCCGAGTGTCCGATCACCACAGGCACCACTGATGCCTTTACTTTCCAGGCTCTCTCCAGCTCTTCCTTGAGCCCCTGGTATTTCTCTAGCTTCTCGTGTTCCTTTTTCCTGATATTACCATCGCTTGGTATTGCGATGTCAACCACCACGGCTCTGCTCTGTTTCTTATCCACCACCACTATGTCTGGTTGGTTCGCCATCACCATTCTGTCAGTCTGTATCTGGAAGTCCCACAGGATCTTGGCTCGGTCATTCTCCACAACCTTTGGAGGTGTTTCCCACCTTGATCCTGGGGTTTCCAGCCCGTACTCTGCACAGATGTTTCTGTACACTATGCCCGCCACTTGGTTATGTCGCTCCATGTATGCTTTCCCTGCCAGCATCTTACACCCTGCAGTTATGTGCTGGACTGTCTCAGGAGCCTCTTTGCACAGTCTACACCGTGGGTCTTGTCTGGTGTGGTAGATCTGGGCCTCTATTGCTCGAGTGCCCAGGGCCTGCTCCTGAGCAGCCAGGATCAGTGCCTCTGTGCTGTCCTTCAGACCAGCCCTCTCAAGCCATTGGTAGGATTTCTTGATATCAGCCACTTCAGTTATGTTCCGGTGGTAGTAAATCTCACAATTTGCAAGTGGGACGTTGTGCGTGATTTTTCTCCATGTTCTTGGGCTGCTCCCTCTCCTCCAGTGCACCCGTCTCAAGTAACTGATGTGCAAAGTTCTCATTCTTTTATATCATTTCTACAGTAGAAACTAGCGGTGTAATGGTACATATATTCGTGACAAATCGTTTCCGTAAAGGACGTTCAGTTCGGTGCAGGGCTGTGGACGAGTGAGGTCACGCAGTCTGTGTGTTTACATTCCCTCACTACATGTGCAGCGGCACAGAAGTTTCAGCTCTTTAATATTTTGTAACAATGTTTTAATTTTGTTTTGTACATTATAAAAGCACAATCACACAATCTATCAGTCATGTACATAAAAAAAACAAAAAAAAACTATTACAGATCAACCTAGTAATTAGAAAATTAAGTTATAACCATCCATACATTTTTTCCCCCAACCCAAATATAAGCTCTTTAATATTTAATATAAAACTCATCCATGATTGGGGTGTCAGTGTTTCCTGCAGCGCTTTATAGTTAGGACGGCCGTCTTGACAACACTTGCCCCCCGCCATTAATTATGTCCTTTTGAACCACATAAATCCTCGCAAAGCTATGCTTGTCGCGCCCCGGCCCACACTTTCTCCGGCACAAAATCTCCCCACCCCCCGTACCCACGACCTCTGTCCATGGTGAAAGGGTATTTTCAGCCTCTGGGGACTTTACTCCACTTACTGCAGACAATGTGGACAAGTTGATTTTTCTGGCCAAAAATATAAAGTTAAACTAGTGCTGCGATTTACTTTTTGAAAAGTTTTGTTTACTGTTTACAAGGAATTTATTTTTTATAATATTTCACACATTTGTTGCTTATTTGAGAATATTTTATTTAACTTATTAGTATTACCAAGCAGCACTTTGCATTTATTTTATTTTCCTGTTTGTATAATGTTAAAACTAATTGTTGGTTTAATAAACACGCAATAAACAGTAAAAGTACACAACTGTGATTTTGTTTACCGTTACACTCCTGATAGAAACTCAGAATCAGAATCAGAATTTATTTGTCATTTCAGTATAAAAAAATACACAGAAACGAAATACTGCACTCAGGTCCAGGTCAACAGCAGCATAGATAAGAATAAGAATAAATAGTTAAAATATTGTGTGTCAAATACAGTCTTTAAAAAACAGCCTTAAAAAAAAACAAAAAAACAGCCCCCACCCACCCCCGTTTCCTAAACTGGCATGTATTTTCTGTTTGAGAGAAGAACTCAGCCTAAATCTGCAGGGTTTGTGTGTTAAACATGTGTGAAATGAAACAAAACACAACTCCAGGTCTGTTTGTGATGAGGAAACGACATTATAGCACATCAGAAAATAACGTAACATGTGCACTTTAAACCAGAAAAACATTATAACACATCAGAAAATAACGCACTATGCACCTAATATACCTCAGGCTTATCTCTCCATGCCACGGATCATACTCAGCGCTGCCCCCTGCTGGTTCTCCCTCTCTCTCTCCATCATTTGTATTCAGTGTGTGTGTTTTGCACTTGCCCGGTCGCGTGGAGGGTGTCTGGATGCTGTTTGAGAACTGTATACCCCACTTAGCTCTGTATTTATATTAAATATTAAATCCAATTTAAATACAAAATGACCATATGAAATATTAAGTGGCAGAGTAAATATTTAATGGAAGCCCTTTACCATAGGCCTGTTATGCTCATTACTATGCACTGCTCCATGAACAGCCTGTTTCCCCCGGGAGGTGTTCTCTGTGTGAGTCCAGAGCTGCAGCAGGGGGCGCTGTTGCTCTGTCACTAAACACAATTCCACTGAGCAAAACAAGGTGGAGAAGAAATGCAGTGGTTTATTTCGTTTATTAGTAAGCAGCAACACCCTCCAGTTATTTTAATAGATCCTTGATTCAAGCAAAGGAACTTGTGATTCGATATAAAGTGACAGGCAACGATATTATTGTGCGACATTATTGTGATCATGATATTTCAGTTATTGTTACAACCCTAATGTACTGTAGACTGTAATAAGTTAAACACTGACCAAATAAAAACACACAAACATGAACATTCACACATGTCTGAGCAACTCTTTATTATTAGTCTGTCCACCTTTCCAAAGCTCAAAATGCTCTGCTCCTCCTTGTGATGTCATTAAGTGGTAGTTTTCATCAAGTTAACAGCTCCTTTTACCTTTAGTTCAGCAAAGATCGGCAATTCCAGGTCTGAAATGATCCAAATGATTCGAGCGCAGGAGTATGTGGAGTTTAAAAACACAGTGGAGAACGTCCTATACTAACACGTGACATCACAAGGTGGAACAGTGTTTTCCATTTGCAGTGTTGGGGAGTAACAGATTACATGTACCGGAGTTACGAAATCAGAGTACAAATTATGAGTAACTGTATTCAGTTACTGTTTCAGTGAGTGGTAATTGGATTACAGTTACTTGGTTGAAATAAATAGATTACATGACCGTATTTTCCTGTTTTCACATTTAACCAGCTCTAAACCAGGACTAAACTAGATCTAAACCAGGACTAAAACCAGGACTAAAACAGGACTAAAAGACTAAAACCAGGTCTAAAACAAGGACTAAACCAGGACTAAAACCAGGTATAAAACAAGGACTAAAACCAGGACTAAAACCAGGTCTAAACTAAGGACTAAACCAGGACTAAAACAGGACTAAAACCAGGACTAAAAAAACCAGGACTAAAACAGGTCAAAACAAGGACTAAACCAGGACTAAACCAGCCAGCTCTAAACCAGGACTAAAACCAGGTCTAAAACAAGGACTAAACCAGGACTAAAACCAGGACTAAACCAGGACTAAAACCAGGTCTAAAACAAGGACTAAACCAGGACTAAAACCAGGACTAAACCAGGACTAAAACCAGGTCTAAAACAAGGACTAAACCAGGACTAAAACCAGGTCTAAACTAGATCTAAACCAGCTTTAAACCAGGACTAAACCAGGATTAAAACCAGGTCTAAACTAGATCTAAACCAGCTTTAAAACAGGACTAAACCAGGACTAAAACCAGGTCTAAAACAAGGACTAAACCAGGACAAAAACCAGGACTAAACCAGGACTAAAACCAGGTCTAAAATGAAGACTAAACCAGGACTAAAACCAGGACTAAACCAGCTCTAAACCAGGACTAAAAAGGACTAAAACCAGGTCTAAACTAGATCTAAAATAGATCTAAACCAGGACTAAAACAGGTCTAAAACCAGGACTAAACCAAGACTAAAACAGGACTAATCCAGGAGTAAATCATACTGTATGGGCCGTGTTTCTTCCTCTTCTATCAATAATATTTTTAATTTGGTTCAGTAAAGTCTGGGCTTTTTATTTTTTTTTAGCAGACAAAACTTCTTATGTTACGATTTCCTCGTCTTCGCTTTGAATACATTTTAAAAATAACCTTCCCAACACTGTGCATTTGAGAGAAGAACTCAGCCTAAACATGCAGGATTTGTGCATTAAACATTTGAATGAAACAAAACACAACTCCAGATCTGTTTGTGATGAGGAAACATTATAACACAGATCAGAAAATAGCGTAATATGTGCCCTTTAAACCAGAAAAACTCAAGATGAATAAAGTGTTTCTCAGAGTTACAAGCCAGTTTAAACAGGGAGTCATTTAAGCGTGAACTTAAACCTGGTCCAGTCTCTTCGGCGGGTTCGGGGAGCGGTGTAAGATGGATGTGTTCCCGCGTGGAGAGAGAGGACTGCACAGGGCTTGTACTTTGTCATCATAAAAACGCTCACTTTGGGTCTGACTCGAGGTACCTTCTGGCCATTTCACATCTCATTAAGGTCAACTGTGTGATCCACTGCCTCCATTCAAACTCTTATTGGGCTAAACGCTTTGTGAACTTTCTCGAGAGTTTTGTTTTGGCTTGAAATCTCGACTTCAAATAGAGAAAAATTGTCAGAAATATAACGCCAGTACTTAGAAAGAGGACACGCTGAGAACTACAGTATACTTGATTTATGGACTTGTACTGCAGTTTTGCCAGGACACATTTTTTGAAGGATTTTTGCATCAGATGTGTTGAAAATAATTCTCTAAAGTCTTGTCAAATCACATTTCATAAGCGTCAAAGGTCTTTTTAATTCACGTCCACAGTAGTCGCCTCACAGGGCTTAAAGATGCACTGTGTAACTTTCCAGATTCTCTCCATGGAGATGTTGCCTGGAATGGTCCACAATAGTGTTGTAGTCAAGAGTGCACTAATCGAGACCAAGACCAGTCCGAGACCACAGGGTCCCGAGACCAGGACAAGACCAAGACCTCAGAGAGTTGAAACCGGGACAAGACCAAGACTTTTAAAGGTCAAGACCATATCAAGACAATCTTTGTCATTTCCTACATTTATTTGTGTTTTACAGTAATTTTGGCACATATATTATATATGCTTTTATAATTTCTATCTCCATTTTATCTGATTAAATGATCCCGGGAGCTATGTTGTCGGGGGCTTCATGCCCCTGGTAGGGTCACCCAAGGCAAACAGGTCCGGGGTGACGGGTCAGACTAAGAACGGTTCAGAAGCCCCACATGATGAGTTTGACACAGAGGTCAGCTACGTCACCTGGAATGGTGTTACCAGGGCCCCACCCTGGAGCCAGGCCTGGGGTTGCTGCTCGACAGTGAGCGTCTGGTGGCCGGGCCTTCCCCCACGGGGCCTGACTGGGCACAGACCGAAGGAGCGACGTGGGGCCACCCTTCCGTGGGCCCACCACCTGCGGGAGGAGCCATATGGGGCCGGTGTAAGAAGATCTGGGCAGTTGAAGGTGAGAGTCTCGACGACCAGATCTCTGGACATGGAGACTAGCTCTGGGGACATGGAATGTCACCTCGCTGGGGGGGAGGAGCCTGAGCTTGTGCGGGAGGTTGAGCGTTACCGACTAGATATAATCATCCTCACCTCCACGCACAGTTTGGGCTCTGGAACCCAACTCCTTGAGGGGGGCTGGACTCTATTTCTCTGCCGTTGGCCGCAGGGAGCAGCTGATATACGACACGTCACCACCAACACAGAGACAGTTGTGAAGATGCAGCAGCAGAAACATGTCAACAAGGTAAATACACTTTACTGCATTGTCTTGAACCCAAGAAGTTAAAGTATAAAAGAAAGAAACACATTTTTCTTTTTTCTTTTTTTGACACTTTAAACATGATTTCAACAAAGTAGTTCTTTTTGAACAATTTTATTTGTCAAATAATAACTCCTGTGCATATTAGAAGAGTTTTGGTCCAGTATATCACACAGCTGCAAGGTAAAATCTTAAATATAATGATGTGTTTTAGTCAAATGAGTAGTCCAACCTATAGGCACTTTAAATCTTCTAAAAACTATATAGTTAGGTATAATTTCATCAACATTCTCTGAGGGTGTGATGCTAACTGTAGGCACTGCTCTAACTGTAAGACGCTCTATCCCTATATCTGCAGATCTGTAGCTCTGTAGCGATCTGCATTTGCCGTAATCTTCTCAGATAATTCAGCAGATGAGGCCCGATCTTGTATGTCTCTTTAGGATAATAATGAGCTGACGCGTAAATCTCCTCGATCCTTCTGTTATTATTATTATATTTCACCAGCACTCTGTCCTGGTTGCTTTTGGGATCCTTGGGGTTGTAGTACTTTCCGAACGTCGTAAGGCAAATTTTCTGCTTGAGGATAGTGTAAGTTTCCCAGCGTGAAATATGTATATTGTCTTTTGTCTTTGATCGGTGGCAGGAGTGGGTCTCGCCCGTGGTTTGTAAACTCGTGAAATCCGTATTCTCCTTTATCGGGGCGACACAGAGCTACCATGTTGTTGTCCAGACAGGCTTTCACGTACCATTTCAGCAGGGGGAGTCCGTGCCGCGGCGGGGGGCGACCGAAGCCGCTGTCCTGAAGAGCTCTGGGGGAGTCCAGGGTCTTTATGTTGGAGGAGGAGACATTCACAAGTAGGAGCAAGCAAAACAGACAGGTAGACATTTTGAAGGAATCTGTGGGAAAAAATCAGTATGAGTAACACAGAGGAGAAAGAGTTTGACCATTTAAATGTCCGACATTGGGCAAAAGTGACTCTTGTGATGTTTAAGTCATGTTAGAATGATTTTACTTCATCAGAAACACACCTGGAGTTGTGTTTTGTTTCATTCACATGTTTGAGTAATGCTGTGTTATTAGTTTGTCTACATCTCCAAAGCTCAAAATGTTCTGTTCCACCTTGTGATGTCATGAAGAGGTAGTTTTTTCAAGTTAAGAGCCCTTTACCTTTTGCGCAGTCAAGATCAACAATTCCAGGGCTGAAATTATCCAAATGATTCAAGAGAAAGTGTGTGGAGTTTGAAAACATAGTGGAGCACTTCCTGTATTATCACAAGGTAGAACAGAGTATTCAGAGTACGGGTGTAACAGTTCACAAAAATCACAGTTTGGTATGTACCTCGGTTTTGAGGTCAAGGTTCGGTTCATTTTGGGAACAAAATCCAAAACCATTTGCTTGTTGTTTATTTTTGTGTTTATTAAACCCACAAATTGTTTCAACATTATACAAACGAGAAAATAAAATAAATGCAAAGTGCTGCTTGGTAATACTAATAAGCTAAATAAAATATTTTCAAATAAGCAACAAATGTATGAAATATTATAAAAAATAAATTTCTTGTCAACAGTAAACAAAACTTTTCAAAAAGTAAAGTGCAGCACTAACAGTTCCAGCATGAAGTTTTACTCAGTCTTCATATTTTTAGCCAGAAAAAAAAACAACTTGTCCACATTGTTTACAGTAAGTGCAGATCTGCTGCACTTATTATGTCCCCAGCGACTGAAAATACACTTTCACTAGAGACAGAAGTTGTAGTTGTAGTTTTGTGAGGATTCACGTGGGTCAGAGGGACGCAGTCAAGGCGGGGGTTAAGTGTCGTCAAGGCAGCTGCCCTAACTATAAATCGCCGTGGAAAACACTGACACCAAAATCATATAGACGAGTGAATATTAAAGAGCTGAGCCTTCAGTGTAGCTGCACAGTGACGATGTCGTGACAGAATGTAAACACACACAAACTCAAACAAATTCACTCGTGCACAGCCCTGCACCGAACCAGACGTCCTGTACTGAAACGCTTCCGCACAAATACATGTTCCATTACATCCATAGTTCAGAGTGAGATAAATATGCAGAGTTTGTATGTTAAACATGTGCGAATGAAACAAAACACAACTCCAGGTCTGTTTTGGATCAGGAAACAACATTATAACACAGATTTTTTTTAAGTTTAATATGAAATACCCAACTTTACTCCCAACTGTCATAAAAATCATAATTTGTGTAAAACATTTTATTTGATCGTTTGCAAATTTGTGTCACCACATGAGACTTTGGCTTTGGAAAGGTGATCTACTCTACTTCACTTCTGAGTCTGAAAACAAACAAACAAAACAAACAGTTCTAATGCTTTGCTACTTCCTAAAAATCATGCATATGAATTGAACTAAAGATGTAGAGCCAAACTGTGCAACATTTAAGACAAAAGACTTGGTGTGTAACTGTGTAACTTTTTCGTCGGGGGTTTGTCAGCTGCTTGTCTTCATAAAAATGTGATTTCTCTACCTGGAATGTTCCACAGTGTGACATTAAACAGCTCTGCCTTACACTTATTCAATTACAAGTGTTTTTATGCCTCAAAAATACCTAGAAAAACAACCATTTTGTCCCGTAACTCAGCTTGGTTTGGTCTCCACGAAGATAGAAAAGTTTAATGCCACACTGTGAAACATTCGAGACAAGGCAATGACATCTCCACGGTGAAAAGCATTTAATGGACCCTTCACCGGAAAAGTTCCACAATGCATCTTTAAATTAAATAATTGCTTACCAACATTTTGACACACATCCTTACTTTTTTATCTCGTTACACACCAATCCAAGCGTTTAAAAACTGGACACGACATCGATGCACAAGCGCATGTTTTCCTCACAGATAAAATAACGTCCATATTATATAAATGTGAAAGAAAAACAGTTTATTTTGAAGTGTTTTGTCTCTTAAAACAAATGCTTTAAATTAATCATCCAACTCTCTCACAAAAAACAAAATCTAGTAAAGTTAAGATCATTGAATTAAAATTTTTATCATGATTTGAGTAAATTTCACTTGGCAAGTAAAAATATCTGCCAGTGGAATAAGATGTTTGTACTTAAAATATGAAAATACATCTTGCTACACTTAAAATAAGTAAGACAAACAACAACTTTTTGCACTTAAAGTAAGAAACAAAATCAAATGTTGCTCAAAACACATTTATTCCATTGGTAGATAAATTTACTTGTCGACTCAAATAAAGTGAAATGTTCTTAATTTAAGTAATTTTAACTTACCTAGATATTGTTTTTTTTTTTTTTTTCAAGTGCACTGCTTATCAAAATAAATAAATAGATAAATAAAAAAATTTAACACATTTATCAGTGAATTATTATGAAACTCGTCAAATATTCACATGTTCAAAAACCTGGTATAAAAATAAAGACGGCAGTGGAATTATCTGGCAGTGGAATAAGATTTTTGTACTTAAAATATGAAAATACATCTTGCTGCACTTAAAATAATAAGAAAAACAACAACTTTTTGCACTTAAAATAAGAAACAAAATCAAATGTTGCTCGAATTAAGAAAAACACACTTATTCCATTGGTAGATAAATTTACTTGTCAAGTTGAATCGACCCAAATAAAATCAAATGTTCTTAATTTAAGTCATTTTAACTTACCTAGATATTGTTTTTTTTTTCAAGTACACTGCTTATCCAAAAAATAAATTAATTAATAAAAAAAAATGAACACATTTATCAGTGAATTATTATGAAACTCCTCAAATATTCACATGTTGAAAACCCTGGTATAAAAATAAAAACAGCAGTGTAATTCTCACCTTTCTGATGTGACGTGACAGGTCCTGGCCGGTGCAGCGCTGTCAGCCTCCGCCGTGTGAAACCACAGGGCTCAGTGATACTATATATTTACACACAGACTCTTCATTTCTCTAAAAGGGGAAGTGCTCAGTGTTTGTCAAGAGCTGAACTGGTTTTACTCATGAGAATTGTGGAGATGGTAACGATAAACCACAACAGAGAAGTATCGGTTTTACTAAAGGGACAGTCACTTAGAGGCGCGTAATTCGGGGGAAATAGAAAATTAAAATCTCAATTCAGAACATTCTCCAGGGAGATACACAGGTTTTATATCATACTGTGGAAGATTATGGCCAAATTAACAATATCGACATAGAAACAAGGTGATAAAATGGAGTCAGGTTTGTGGAGATGCAAGCCTGTTTACAGTAAAGATGTGTGTTTTCTATTTTTTATTGCAATTAACACAACCAAACTGAAAAAAGAAAAAGAAAACAGGATATTATTTTAGTTTACATAAAAAGTTACATTCTGTGGCTTTAATGTGCAGATCCCTAGATTAAAATATGTCTATGAATGATAAAAACAACTATGGGAAAACTAAAACAACTGCACAACTTACCTTCAACTGGGTAAGATCTTGTTTAGAACTTGTATTCGACCTAGTTTAGTCCAGGCAATATCAAAAATGTTGAATTCTCTCGTCTATTTTCATACATAAATCGCACTGGATTATAAGGCGCATTAAGCAAAACAAACAGACCACACTTGAGACTGATCCTTAGCCCAGACGTCCACGATCCATTGGCAGATTGTAGTGTAATTCGCCCGGCGTTGCCTCCCTGTCTTGGTGAATGTGTTTTATTAATGTGAATGTGGGTGGATCCTTTAAGTTTTTTTTTTCCTATGAGGACGACTCAGATATACATTGAGTAATAATGTGTTTAATGCAGCTTTGCGCACATTTGTTTACGTTTTACAGAAACAAAACTCAAAACCACACGGCTCATTTGCATAAACTATAAGCGCTGAAAAACACATCTCGCTCCTTGTGCGATGATGTGGTCAACTTCTGTCGGACTAAAGACCATAAAATGGGTTTTACTACGCGAGGGTCCTAACTACAGTCGCCATAATGCTCCAACCATCCATCAAGCGGTGCAGCTTTGTCATTTACAAAAGTCATACTAAAACATTTTGACAGATTTTTGAGCGCCGTGTACCACATAAAATCTGTTCGAGGTCAGTCACCACAAACAGAATGAATACATAAGGCGCTTCGGGTTATAAGGCGCACTGTCGATCTTTGAGAAATTTAAAGGATTTTAAGTGCACCTTATAGTCAGAAAAATACGGTATTAAGTTTTGAAAGACATAGATGTAGCCATTGTTTATTTATCTTGCTTGAGTACAAGTATGCTGTAAAAGCAGCTCTTCAGGACAAAATAAGTCAGCAGAGTATTATCTATATCTAATTTTAAAACTTTTTAATTTCAGAGAATCAGGAAGTACATGTTAGTGCATGTTGGCAAGTTGTAAAAATAAAACCTCAACATGGTGAGGAATAACTTTGGACAGTGTTGGGGAGTAACAGATTACATGTACCGGCGTTACGTAATCAGAGTACAAATTATGAGTAACTGTATTCAGTTACAGTTACTGTTTCAGTGAGTGGTAATTGGATTACAGTTACTTTGTTGAAATAAATGGATTACACAGTGGTATTTTCCTGTTTTCACATTTTGGGCTAAACCAGGACTAAAAGCAAACTAAACCAGGACTAAAGCAGGACTAAAACCAGGACTAAACTAGGACTAAAACCAGGACCAAAACCAGGACTTAACCAGGCCTAAATCAGGACTAAACTAGGACCAAAACCAGGACTAAACCAGGTCTAAAAGCAGGAGTAAAACCAGGTCTAAACTACATGACACTAACAGTAGTGTGGACATAATTCAGGCAGCAGTGATCTCATATAGAAATCATTTCTCTATCAATAATATTTTTAATGTTTAAGTAAAGACTGGGCTTTTTATTTTCTTTTATCAGATAAAACAAAACATCCTATGTTAAAATTTCCTTGTCTTTGCTTCTCTGCTGTAAACAATTGCCTGTTCATGGAGACTTGGGCTCAACAGACAATTTCAAGAGAACAAATTTGCAGGATGTGGTTGGTACATCCATGTAGTTTTAAAAAGCATGACAATATCAAGTAATCCAAAGTATTCAGATTACATTACTCACCTGAAGTAATTTAATGGATTACATTACAAACTACATTTTGGGGTCTGTAATCTGTAATCTGTAGGGGAATACATTTTAAAAGTAACCTTCCCAACACTCACTTTGGACCACTGCAAACCGTTTAAATGAACTAGTTCTGTTTTTCACATTTTAAAAATCAGTATCTTGAATGTTTATAAATGTTGCTAATCTGCTTGTTTGGAAATCACCAAACATTTTACGAATAATCTTAATAGAAAAATATGTACAATTTGTGATTCAATTCCTATTTTCGAACAGTACACACTGTAAGCAAGACACTGAGCCACCAAACACAGCTGCCACTTCTTAGTTAGTCAGATACAGAACAGTGCAAGTAAAGACACCTTAATTATGTGGAAGAAAAGCTTTATTAAACCAGATTTAAACCATTTCCTCACTTCTCAAATCCTGCACTACAGCTGAACAGCACATGGAGATATTTTGCAGATTTAGCCGTCATCGTAAATCCGGTGGCGGTGTGGCGTGCTGTGTACTCGAGCGAGCATTAGCGCCTTTGCGGGGGTCACACTTGGCAGGCCTATCTCTCCTGGATGGACTGGACTGGCACTAAGCTCTGTGGATAAGCTGCTGCTGTGACACTTGTACTGAGAGGAGCCGCCAAACACAGCTAATACTGTAGCAATACCACCTCCTCGCTCTGTTCTGTCATACTACTGACACAAAATATACACAGATTATCCTATATGCAGTAGTGGCTTCATTTGGAAATCGATTTTGATGTGGAAAAAGGTTTGATGCTCGATAAAAATTAAAGATGATCTCAGGATTCATTAAATGGCCCATGTTATGCAATTTTCTGAGCTGTTGTAATCTTGGTTCCTCATTAAAAACATAACTCGAGTTGTGTTTTGTTTCATTTGCACAAACCTGTGTCCTTCTCTCAAACAGAAAACACTCTGTTCCACCTTGTGATGTCATGTGGTAATACAGGAAGTGCTCCGCTCCGGTTTTAAACTAGACAAACCTACACTAGAATCATTTGGATGATTTCAGATCTGGAATTGCCGATCTTTATTGAATAAAAGGTAAAAGGTAGCTGTTTACTTGAAGACTACAACTACATGACATCACAGGGTGGAACAGAGCATTTTGAGCTTGAGAGATGTAGACTAATAATGAAGGATTACTCAAACATGTGTGAATGAAACAAAACACAAATCCAGGAATGTTTGTGAGGACGTAACAACATTATAAAATGTTCAAGAGCTCACCAGAGTCAATTTTGGGTAAATGTTGTCCATTTACATATTATTTTTTGACCTTTTTACCATGTTATATTGTCCCCTCCCATTAAATAGATCCTAGAGTTGTATTTTACTTAATTCTGTGTCATTTCCCGCACCTGATCTCAAAATGAGTGACATGTTCATGTCATTTTACTGCATGTTTATGTGGTAAAATAAATGAACAAAGAAAACGTGTGGAATATGCTGGAGAAATCAAGTGACAAGAAGACTGTGCAGTGGTCAGCAAAGGAAACCAAATATTTGCTCTATCCATGTTCGCCTGGTCAGGTTACATCTTTGGATTTGGCATTGCTGCAGCCTTCTCCACAACAGATGTTGGAACAGATCTTGGCACAGATAAATAATGACTTGTATGAGTAAAATGCTCACTGGTGTCGATGATGCGATCCATGATTGTTATTTTCCTTGATGTGACATCCTCTTTCGTATGGCCTTGTTTTTATTTGGTGGCAAATCATCACCCTTTGTCAATGCTGCATCATGGTTTAACTTAAATAGGTCGTTCACCGGTGCACCGGCACTAGCACCATTCTAGCCAGCCTGAAAACAGCTAGAGAACTAAAAAAAAAAAAGAAAATCCTTACTCCTCTGGTACATTTTAAAAACATGATTCACTATTGCCTCATCTACACTCGCAAAATTGACTCAAACACACATCTGCAGTTGTATTTTACATCATTCATGCTTATTTCATTGTCTCCTCTGGGCACTCAAAAACGCTCTGTTTGCATTTTGCCTGAAGTGTTGTGTCATAGGTAAAAGTTCATACTTATTCCTGTACATTTTAAACCCCACAAGGCATCACCCGACTCACTCTGTGGTCAAATCCTGTTCAAAACGAACACACGACTCTCAGAATTCATATTGCTTGTTTTATTTCTCATTGTTCATTCCTGTTACTGACGTCAAAAGGAGCTGCGTGTGCCCGATTGGAAACAGAAGTGTAGTTTTTTATAAAGTGTGTTTTCCAAATGTAGAAATTATTTTGTTAGAAAATGTGAAATACTTATCCGAACATAAGGTGACCGAAAACATGTTCAAAATCTAATTAAAGCCACAAGAATGTATAATATCTCTTCTTTATAGGTACTATATTATGCAACATTGGTTTGTGTCAGGTTTAAACCATGTTATAATGCTGTTACCTCCTCAAAAACATACCTGGAGTTCACAAGTTTGATGCTGCATTATTAGTCTGTCGACATCTCCAAAGCTTCAAAATGCTCTGTCATGAAGTTGTAGTCTTCAAGTCGTCAAGTTAACTACGACCTTTTACCTTTATTTTAGTAGAAATTGGCAATTCCAGGGCTGAATTCATCCAAGTGACTCTAGTGAAATTGTATGGAGTTTAAAAACACAATGTATTACCACATGAGATCACAAAATAGATCAGAAAGTAGCGTGATATGGGTCTGTTAAACCAATTGCATGTTTAAATTAGAATACAATTAGCTGCCCTCACAACCTTTATGGTGAAGTTAGTTTACGGCGCATCAACACCATAAGAGGAAGAAAACACTTGAGTCTGAGATAACCCATATTCTATAAAACCTCCAAAGCAGAAGTGGTATTTCCCTCTGTTGATTCTGTCCTGTGAGTCTGATCTGAAGCCACAGGTGT